ATGACCTTGAAACGTACCCGGTACAAATCAAGGGGGGTACAAATCAAGGGGGGTACCTTATACGGCGTTTTACGGTAGTTGGTTCGTTTAAAAAAACAAACCAAATTAATTTAATAGCTTTGTGTTACATACTTATATTGATAGAATCGCTTCTAATAAAAGTTGGTGGACTGCCGGATCCCACTGGATCCAAAACGTTAATATGAAAAATATACTTTCAATATACGAACTTACAAAATTTTAGATAGCTTTAATTAAGCAAAATTTTTTTTGCCCAATTTCAAGTTAAAAATTCTATTATAACCAATATAAAAAATTCATGTAAAGTGTTTTTCAATAGAAATTAAACAAACCATGCTATTTGGCAATAAATGTAAATGACGCGCAAATTAACATCTGATATAAATTCCGATTGGTTGACTAACACAAAAATACACAACCATGTATTCAGATCGTAAACTTTCGCGTCTTCCACTTCATTTATCTATTGAACAAAGCCAGCTCTCAAAGCTAGCTTCTTTGCCTCGAAATCCAATACGAACCACTCAAAATTTACTGATTACGGACGAGAGAATTTTAGGAAGACGTTGCGATTGGGAACCTGAGTTCACAAAAAAAACACAAAAGAAATGTGCAAAATGGATAGCACCAAAAAATTGCACTGTGAGTAATATTTACATTTCTATTAATCTCTAAAAAATTGTATTTTCTAATATGATTCCTTTTCTAGGCACTAGATTTATTAAACAAGTCTGATAAGGAAACCAAAGAACCTTTCATGTCAACGTCCTTGCCTGAACTAGATATAGCATTAGGCGGAGGTATACCATGCTCGTCCTTAACAGAAATTGTAGGACCTACAAATTTCGGCAAAACACAATTTTGTCTTACACTATCAATTCTTGCCACATTGCCTGTTTGTATGAATGGTCTTGGCGGAGGAACATGTTATATAAGTACCCAAGGTGTTTTCCCCGTGGAAAGGTATCTTTTTTGTTTATATTTCAAATCATGAATTATTTTATACACAATTCTCATTTTAAGATCTATAGGTTAATGGAAATCGCAAAGTATAGATTCCCATATATTTTCGGCGATGAAAATTCACAATGCCAGGATAATCTTAAAAAAATGACTGATGCAGTTCATTTAATGAAAGCCAAATCCTCTAAGGAGTTGGCAAATATGTAAATATATATATATATATATTTTTTTATTTTCGGTTGAAATTTATTTGATTATTTCCTTATAATAAAATGGTTTCCTGGATATTTATTTTTGATAGATTAGAGAACTTTCAAGAATTCATCATCGAGAAAAATATTAGATTGCTGATAATCGATTCATTTGGTGCTCTTATAAAAAAGGAATTTATTGGTAAAAAAGATTCCTTAGACAAACGAAGTCGATTACTAGTTAAATTTGCTGCATGGTTAAAGTAAGTAATCAATAGTATTTTATCATGTGTATAAAATCAATTTTTATTGAATTATTTTATCTCAATGAATATTTAATAGATTCTTATCCGAATCATTCAATATGCCAACAGTCGTAACAAATCAAGTAATTTCATTGAATAATATTCGAGATGCATTAACAGATCTTACAAATGGTATTTATTGTGACAGATTAAAATGAAATCAGATTAAAATGAAATGAGAGATAGTGTAAAATAGACAAGCCACCGAAAAATACAA